TTCACTAGCGAGAAAACAGTTAAACTGCATCTGCAGCGCGGGAATAAAGAACGAGCCTCCATCATTCAGCCTCCTTAGGGTGCTTTCACACTTAGTTCATTTGCCTGCCCCGTGCCCAAGTTTGATTGTCCCCCCTTGCCACCTTCTTGATTGGTTTATGTTCACAGTGTCTTTTTTCCTTCTGAACCCCGGCATACTGGCGTCATCAAGCTGCTGTTTTGTTTATGGCCGTTGCTAGGTGACGTCACGAAAGTAAAGCGCCGAAATGGAAAGACTTCCATGCATCGCGGTCATTCTGATTTTACTGAAGCTTTTCGTTTTGGACATACAGAAAGTTACTCGCGTCCATCTGCCGCAAACATATTATGAACATTCAGAACATCACAGTGTGTACAGAAGCTGTTTTTGGAGGAGACAAACAGACGTCACATCACTGTGTATCACTGTGTTTGCCCTGGCTCAGTCCCGCTTTTCACCACCCTGCTGAAAAATCCAGCTTAGACCAGCCTAAGCTGGTTTAAGCTGGCTTTAGCTGGTTGATCAGGCTGGTTTTAGAGGGGTTTTGGCCATTTCCAAGGTGGTTTCCAGCCATTTCCAGCCTGGTCTTAGCTGGTTAGGCTGCATGGGAGATGACCAGCTAAAACCAGCTTGACCAGCCTAGCCAGGCTGGGAGCCCAGCCAAAACCAGCTATGTCCAGCTTAAACCAGGCTGGTCAAGCTGGTTTTAGCTGGTTTTAGCTGGTCATTTTCCAGCCTGACCAGCTAAGACCAGGCTGGAAATGGCTGGAAACCAGCCTGGAAGTGGCCAAAACCCCTCTAAAACCAGCCTGGTCGACCAGCTAAAACCAGCCAACCAGCCTAGGCTAGTTGGCTGGTTTAGGCTGGTTTTTTCAGTAGGGTTGTGAGCAAATCCAGCCTGATCTCATAAGGAAACGTCCGTATTTTACGTTTTGTCAGTTTAGTAGCTAATTTGTACGAGTTCAGTCGTACGAAAAAGTACGATTTTAAAAATAGGCGTGGCACCTAATCCCACCCATCATTGGCTGATGAGCAAATCGTACTAAATCATTTGAATTAGATCGTACAAATTTCGAAGATTTAGCCACTAAAGCAAAAAGATACAAATTGCCGTGCATTGGCAAATCTGGAGATTGGATGAATTATTAAAATAAAATGTCAGAGAAGAGCCTGCATGAATTCAAAACTTACAATGTTTACTTTGCTAGCGCACATTGTTAGTCTTTATTTGTTTGTTTATTTAATCAAATTGAATATAAAATCTGCCTTTCATTCCAACCGTTAGTTTGCTATGAGTGATAGAAGCTCAAAAACAACCCCCCGCCCACTACTCAGTGTATTTAACCGTGTTTGTGGGTTCTTGTGAAGTCCGAACACCCTCAATTTGTCTCTCTTTACCCCTTAATAAGTTCAGCAGATGTATTTCTCACCTGAGGAGGACAGCAGGAGGTGAATTTAGAGGCAAAACCACACAGGTAGACGGAGATGAAGAACTGCAGGATGGTGAACAGCAGCAACACACCACTGATTCCTGAGAACAGAGTCTGAGAGAACATTCAACATGAGCATACATAACTATGAAATTCAGTTTAATAATAATGTTTAAAGGTGCCATAGACTGAAAATCTGGATGTAATCCCATACCATTTCCTCTTTCATATTTAAATTTCCAATTTCTTTGGTTTTAAATGGACATATAAAACTATTTATGAAGAAATGTTGCATTTACCTAAGCCACACATTTACTGGATATCAGAAACCAATTCAAACAACGCATTCTATGGCACCTTTAAGTCAATATTTTAATCCAGGATAAATAATCAGTCATATCTTTAAAGCACTTGTGAAAATCTAGAAAACACTGAGTGCAGATTTAGGTTTTCAAGAGTGTATCGACCACACAGGGATCTTACTGTAACTCTAAAATAAAAAGTTTTGCACCAAAATGATATGAGTATGAAGAAGTTGATGACGTACCATATACATTCTCTCAATTTCACCACAATAATGGCCACTGCAGTAAAAGTAGAGGGGTCCATTACCCAAATCCACTGAAAGCAGAATGAAGGCAATGGCTGCAGTTACAGCACTGAAAATGTTCATTCCAAGAGAGCCTTTCACCTACGGTAGAGGCACAAACATAGAAAGGTTACTTAACATGTTGTCTTGACACACTGTGCTAAAGTAAATGGAAGAAAACATGGAAAGTAATTGGCAAACGAATGAAATATAGAGTCCGAGCACTGAAGGCTCATGTGGATGATTACGTGATGAAATTCTGTCGTATGGCGGTGCAAAAAGGGGCGGGATTAAACAAGGCGATTAGACCCCTGCTGAAAAATCCAGCTTAAACCAGCCTAGGTTGGGTTGGCTGGTTTTAGCTGGATTTTTTAGCAGGGACATTAAAAAGGTGATTGATTGCTCTATGTTTTAAATTTCTTTTTAAATTTTAAAACCTCGATTGTTCTCATGCTGTCAAGTG